GTGGCCAAGTCTGACTTCCCAAGATACGGGCGCAGCTGGCGCACGAGCCGGAGCTGTGCGAATGCTCCTCTGGAAACCGCTGAAACTTGGGGTTCCAAGCTTAGGGAAGAATCCAGAGTCACACCCAAGCTGCGAACCTGCGTCTTCAGGGGGAGTGCGACCCCGTCCAACACAGGCTGTAACCCTATACCCTGTTCGGCCTTCCGACTGACCAGGAGTACCTCTGTCTTGTCTGGATTGAGTTTCAATTTGTTCACCCTCATCCAGTCCGACACAGCGGCCAAGCACCGGTTCAGGACCTGGACAGCCTCCTTAGTAGTAGGTGGAAAGGAGTGACAGAGTTTCCTGAGTCAACGCAGCATCACTCCTCAAGGAGGGAGAGAAAGGTGTGTGGGAATGGGAGGCAGAGCAGAGATAAGGTGTCAAATCCACCTGAAATTAGCCTGACGCAGGATGTAGCGATATAGCAATCGTCCCCTTGTACTGTTATTCCAAGAAACCCACATGAAAAAGGAGAAAGGGCAGTGTAGGTGGAAAAGTCTGTTGGAATTTGTTTAAACTGCATTTTTTCTCATCATAGATTATCCTAATTTATGACAATAATTCCAAAGCCAGAGGTTCAACCACCTTACCTGTATGTCTAAACTCCCTGCATCAAAGCAGAATAGCGAGAAAGCTGTTTGTGAGGTGGTGCCAAAGTGCTAAAGCTACTGGAAATTAGACTAAGGCTGAATATAACAAATATTGGCTTATTTCAAGAAATAATAATAATAATTTCAAAGGCTTTCATGGCCGGAATCACTGGGTGGTTGTGAGTTTTTCAGGCTGTATGGCCATGTTCCAGAAGCATTCTCTCCTGATGTTTTGCCTGCATCTATGGCAGGCATCCTCAGAGGATGCAGGTGAAACGTCAGGAGAGAATGCTTCTGGAACATGGCCATACAGCCCAGAAAACTCACAAAAACACAAAAATAATTATAATCATTTATTTCTAGACTGCCCCCTCTGCCCATAGGGAATTGGGGTGGTTTACATACATATAAAACAGGCACATGCTAAAAGTCACACAAGTGAAAGGGGAATCAGAATTATAGAGTTGGAAGAGATCTCATGGGCCCTCCAATCCAACCCCCTGCAAGTAGCAGGAAAATCACATTCAAAGTACCCCTACTGATGGCCATTCAGCTTCTGCTTAGAAGCCTCCAAAGAAGGAACCTCCACCACACTCAAGAGCAGAGAGTTCCCCTGCTGAACAGTTCTTCCTAATGTTCAGGTGGAATCTCCTTCCCTGTAGTTTGAAGAGACTGTTCTGCATCCTAGTCTCCAGGGTGGCAGAAAACAAGCTTGCTCCCTCCTCCCTATGACTCCCCCTCATAGTATAAAGGGAGAATTTTCTGCCAGGCTGTTGTATTGAACTCAGAAACCTCTGAGGATGCCTGCCATAGATGCAGGCAAAACGTCATGAGAGAATGCTTCTGGGACATGGTCATACAGTCTGAAATTTGCTACAATCCTAATTTACTACAATCATTCTAAAGAAAGGTGTTTGATTACCTGCCTTGTCAGTTTGTATCTATCTATCCAAGATCCTAGTCTAAGCAGAGAGTGGAGGTGTAAGCTCTATTGAAATTATGTAGATACCCTACTCTGCTGTATAGTTATTTCAAGAAATCCACATGAAAAGGAAGAAGGGGGGAGGGAGTGCAGGTGGGGAATTTTCTGTGCAACCCTTAACCCTGTATTGATTAGCCCAGAGCATCCTAATTTGCCACCCCAATTCCAAAGGCAGGGGTTGGACTACCTGTCCTGCCGTTCTCCGTATCTCTGAGCCCAAGCAGAGCGTGGCCAGGGCCAGCCAGGTGTGGAGGAGGGCGAGGCTTGGTGAAGATAGACGC